GAGCCACCCAGGCGCTCTGGGAGAGAGAGAATCTCACGCGGGTGTGGAGCCCGATGCGGGACGCGATCCCACAACCCTGGGATCATGACCTGAGCCGAAACCAAGAGTCGGACGCTCAACCGACTGAGTCACCCAGGCGCCCTCCAAGTTTTCTAAAAGTATAAACGTTCCAGGCTGTCATCCTCTCTCGTGGCACTCGTTTGGCCACATTCCATGTTTTGATGTGTAATATTTTCATTTTGGTTGAAATCTAAGTATTGTCTTAGTTTCTGTTACCACTTATTCTTTGGCCCATGAGTGATCTGTAATTAGATTTTAAAACCATGGGATGTGGATATATTTTTCTAGAGGTATAATTACTCCTAGCGAAATGCATAAACCTTAAGTGTATAGCTGGAGGAGTCTGACAGGTTCGTACGTATGTTCATGTCACCAACCCGCCATTCAAGGTATACAACATTTCTGTCATTCCGGAAAGTTCCTGCATGTGTATGGGTGGTTTTTTTTTTTTAGTTGCCTTTTTGTTGTTGGTTTTTAATTTAATTACATTGTGAGCAGAAAATGTGGTCTTTATGTTATTGAATATTGGGTATCTGTTTTGTTTTTAACGTGGCATATCCTGCTAGTTGCCTGTCAAAATTGCCCCTTGTTCCTTAAAAAACAACTTAGGTTTCTCTTGTTCAGGTTGGTACGATGCGCTCTTGAAAAACCCCGTACCCCCCAGCCTCCTCCTTGCAGCTAGGGGACGCCACGGCCCTCCCCCCAGTCCTGGCCATTCTAAGTATGAGAAGTCATTGGGTGTGATTCCGGGGAAGGATGTTGCAAAGGAACATTTAGCCAGATCCCTCCACTTCTTGGCCTTTGTACAAACAGACATGATGCCCAGTGCTCGAGAAGCCATCCCACGGCCATGAGGGTAAAGGCTGCAGCTGAAGAGAGTGTAGCCAGACCTCACGACCATCCCGGCTCCCCAGCTGGTATCTTTGTGTGGCTGCCCCGGACTGTTTGTTTCTGGATATCTTGTTACGTGGAAAAGGTGCACTTCTTACTGGCACAGGACATTGCTGTTTTGGGGAGGGGGTCGGGGAGGGGAGGGATGGGTTTATTACGGCCGAATGCTGTATCCAGCTGGTGCACTTAGTGTGTGGTCAGTTGTCACAAATGCTTCCTGTGTCGTTGAAGCCAATGTATTGTATTCTGCATATAGAATACAATCCACTAGATCATATTATTTGTGTTTCAAAATCTTCTCCACATTTATAGGTATTGGTCTCTATCTTCGTCTGTTCGGGCCGCATAACAAAAATACCATAGACTGGATGGCTTATAAACAGCAGAACTTTCTTCTCAGAGTTCTGGAGGCTGGAGTCTGAGATCGGGATGCTGGCAGATTTGATGTCTGGTGAGGCCTGCTTCGTGGTTCGTAGATGGCTGTCTTCTTGCCTGTGTCCTCACGTGGCAGAAAGAGAGCAAGGGAGCTTGTGGGGGTGTCTTTTATAAAGGCACCAGTCCCATTCCTGAGGGCTGCACCCTTTTGATCTCATCACCTCCCTCCTTATACCATCACAGGGTGGGAATCAGGCTTCAGAATGTGAATGGAGGGTGGGGCACAGACATGAATTATTCAGTCCGTGGCAGTATCCATATCCGTATCCATATCCGGGCACAGACATGAATTATTCAGTCTGTATCCGCATCCGTATCCGTCTTTGATCTTATTCAGTCTGTATCCGTATCCGTATCCGTCTTTGATCTGTTTACCAGAAGAGCTATGTTAAACTCTCCCACCATGGTTGCTGAATAAATCTTGTAATGCTGTCAGTTTTGAAATTTATATATTTTGAAGCAGTCAAATTAAACGAGAAGGTTTTTATATTTTATGTGTCAGCAAATTGTTCCTGTTATTCTCACAGTGACCATCCTTCTCCCTAGTGATGACTATTCAACTCCTCATTTTCATATTAGCAAGTCATTATTTGGAGCTTACTGGTAATAGATAGTAGATACTACCCTAAACTTTGAATCTTATTTAAAAAAAAATTTTTTTTTTAATGTTTATTTATTTTTGAGAGAGACAGAGACAGAATGCGAGTGGGTTAAGGGCAGAGAGAGAGGGAGACACAGAATCCGAAGCAGGCTCCAGGCTCTGAGCTGTCAGCTCAGAGCCCAATGAGGGGCTCCAACTCACGAGCTGCGAGCTCATGACCTGAGCCAAAGTTGGACGCTCAACCGACTGAGCCACCCAGGCGCCCCTGAATCTTATTTTAAGTTAACTTGTCACAATGACACTTTGAGGTAAATGCTATTATTATCCCCAATTTACAGGGCCAGTGGAGGTGAGTTAACCAAGATGAGACATGTGGGAAGCAGTGGAGTCCGGCTCCAAAATCCATGGGCTGTCCACAGTACTTTACCCCAGCGGACTTTTAAAAAATTTTTTACCTGTTCTTACAGGGATGTGTTTTTGTATTTTAAAATTCTTTTTTTCCGGGGCGCCTGGTGGCACAGTCGGTTAAGCGTCCGACTTCGGCC